TTATATATATATATATATATATATATATATATATATATATATATATATATATATATATATAATGCATTTATTTATATAAAAATTTAATCGTTCCCAGTCTAAGTGTATCGGACGATTTGATTTTTATCAGCAAATGTTGACTTTACCGTACACACACAAACTGATGAAAAATATTTCCACTGACAATAATCAAAATTTACAGAGAGGCAAAGTAAGAAAAATGTTATTTGAGACCTTAGCATTTGATTTAAGGATTCTTACTTTGTATATGTTGACTGTTATAAAACTTTACCTTTTTGAATCTCAACATCTACTGTCATTAACTAATTATGGTCCGACCTCCCTGCCCAGTGTCTGACCCAGCCCCATGATTTCCCACAACTGTGAAAATTTACAGCAATAAAAATTGATAAAAAATACTTCAAATTCATAATTCTGCACAACTGAACATTTAAATTGTTAAAAAATGATTAAAAATAAATGGAGAATATCTGTCAAAATTCTGAAAAAAACTAACATTTCATTTCCCTTTAAATTTTTCCTGTCAAAAACAGAAAAATTGTGAATGAAAATTTTACTTTCAAAAGTTTGTTGATAGAAAAATAAAAGAGGGCTTCGTGACCTGCTCTCATTAACAAGGACACAACTATGGTGAAGTTTAGCACGTTCTTTACCAGTTCCTCCCGGTCCTGGATCACTAGCAGGTGAGATCCCCTCCGTGAGCAGTCATCCCAGCCCCTGCTCCAGTATTGGTTCTCTTCAGACAGCCAGTAGCACTTGTCCCTGTGCGGCACCCAGTGCCTGGGGCAGAGTTTGCACCCGGAGCCCTCTGGACGGGGAAATGGAACAATTATTAAAATAATGGATCTGATTGTTCTGACCTGCTCCACCAGCAGAGACACATGGAGCCTTCACACTCAATGTTTTAATGAGACAAAGGGCAGCGCATTGGCAGAACTCTGGGGAGCGTGGCAAGACCATACCACCATGGGGTGCTCAGAGTAAGTGCTGGCTCCAATACCCCAGTGTGATGCAAGGGGGCGCTGTGCTACAGGTTAGCGTAGCAGGAGGATCAGCAGGGCACACTCTCCCCTCACAGTCAGTGCTGGCCCCAATGCCCCATTGTGGCGCTGCGGAGGTGTGGGGGGTGGCTGTGTTCAGTTATCAGGGTAGAGGCTCAATAAAGTGCTCTCACCAGCCACTGCTGACCCCATTGCGCCAGTGTAGTGCTAGGGGGCGCTGTGCTGCAGGGCTCAATAGGGAGTATGTTAATGTCAGTCAATGCTGGCCCTGATCTCAGCTGGGGCAGGGCCTGTCTCTCACTTTGTGTCTGTGCAGCACCCAGCACAATGGGGCCCTGATCTCAGCTGGGGCAGGGACTGTCTCTCACTTTGTGTCTGTGCAGCGCCCGGCACAATGGGGCCTTGATCTCAGCTGGGACAGGGGACTGTCTCTCGCTGTGTGTCTGTGCAGCGCCCGGCACAACGGGGCCCTGATCTCAGCTGGGGCAGGGACTGTCTCTCGCTGTGTGTCTGTGCACACAGGGGCCCTGATCTCAGTGCCTCTAGATGCTACACATGTAATACACATATCAGCTAAAGAACTATAAAATCATAATTCACTATTATTGCTAAAGCTGCCTGTATCTTTCAAAGCTCAGATCACCCTGGCTGGCCAGTAGCAGTCACTGTTGAGGCTGTAGATTCCTGGCGATATTATAGAGGCTCATGAGAGGAGGGATGGGATAGAGAGGGTGTGGGAACGAAGGTGTCTCGGCTTTATGTAAACATCCGGGTGTGTAACAGTGAGGGTGAGTGACGGGTTGGATACAGGATGCGCGGGGGTTACCTGCCGAGCTCTTTTCCACCCCACACAAGTTTTGCTTGAGGCAAGATCGGAAATTCTCCAATGTACGGTGGTGCGGTGTTGTGTTTTCATTTATCTCACACGAGTCGCTCTTCGGAGCGGTCTGCGGGACGGCTGCCGTCTGGCGATTCTGGGAAGAGCGCTGGCCAACTTCAGGATAAATTAAAGCAAAAAATTGGAAAAGACAAGGCCAGATTCCAGCTAGTGTAGATCAGCCGTAACTCCAGCCACAGGCGCTCCACCCCAGCTTCGTCCTGAGGCCCCGCCCTCACTCCGCCTCTCCTGCTGAGGCTCCGCCCTCACTCCGCCTCTCCCCCCGAGGCCCCGCCCTCACTCCGCCTCTCCCCCTGAGGCCCCGCCCTCACTCCACCTCCCCCCGAGGCCGCGCCCTCACTATGCCTCTTCATGCCCCCGCTTCACCCCCTTCTCCATCCTCTCTCCCTTCCTTGCCCCACTGTCTCCTGCCCCATCCCCCTTCTCCTGCCCTCCAAACAGCTGATTGGGAGCCATCCCAGGGGCCACGCTGAACCACTGTGGCTGGTGGGAGCTGAGCACCTCCTATTTTTTTTTGTCTGTGCTTGAGGCCTGGAGCACCCCTGACGTTAGTGCCTATGGCTCCATCGGAGTCAATGGACCAGATCCCAGCCGGTGTGAATCTATGTCGCTCCATTACAGTCAATGGACAGATCCCCAGGCAGTGTAAATCAATGACACTAAGGCAATTTATAGCAACAGAGAATCTGGCACAGTTGTCCCAGAATCACAAATTTCAAGTCTAGAAGAGACCATTTGGCTCATCTAGTCTGACCTCCTGTATCCCCCAGGCCAGAGGCCGCCGCTCAGCGATTCTGGCATTGAGCCCCAACAAGGTGTGTTGAGTTCCCGGTGCGTCGCTGGGCCGCAGCGCAAAACCCGCAGCCGGGGGCTACTCACCCAGGACAGCCAGCACTATCACTGCTCCCAGCAGGACGATGTTCCCGGCCCAGCCCACCCGATGCCAAAGCGGACACTGCGGACAAGCTGCAAGAATCAAGGGGGGAAATGCAGAGCCGGTTTGCATGCACCGGGGGAGATAACTGCCTGTGGTGCACCCACATCCATTGACATCTGCAAGGCGACGTCTCTGCCCTTTAACGCGCTGGCCTGGCCTGTTTGCAATTCTCGCTTGTCAGTGGAAACCAGCCCCCTTGTTTGACTGTGGCTAGCTGAGCAAATTGCAGCAAAAGTCTCTGAGAAGGAGGTGGAGAAGACATTGCTCTTTTCAGCTCAGCAGATCAGGAAACCCACTGCCGGAAGTGTGTGTGTGAGGGGGGAGGTGAACGTGTTATAATGATCATACAGAGATACAGTAAACTGGTGTAAGCCATCAGCTCTGAGTGGATCTCTAAACTGAGGCTGGACGGGATGTTTCCAATCATCTCAACTCATCTCCTCAACAGACGGGGCTGGGAATTTCACCCAGTATTTCCTGCCTCCAGCCCGGCAATACGTGGTGGGATGAAAGCGAGTCACAGCATACATCGCTCAGTGACACACCTTGCAGGAGGCATCATCTCCTAAGGGATCCCTTTGTGCTGCGATCCCGGTTTAGAGATGGGGAGGAGCTGTCAGACCCAGCGCAGAGACACCAACACTCTCCTTGGTTGTGACGCCCACAAAAAAACTTGACAATGGCTAGGCTGAGGGTGCAGCCACCACAGCTCCTCACAGCGACCATTATGGGTTCGTTGTTCTCCCCATCTGTCTGTCTGTCACCATCTGTCATCTCTTGTCTTAGGCCCAGATTGGAAGTGCCATAGGGCAGGGCACTGCCTTTTTATCCCGGCTTTGTACAGCACCCAGCACAACGGCATCCTGGTAAACGACTGGGGCTACTAGAGGCCACAATAATACAAATAATAATTAAGTGACTTGATCGAGGTCATACACAGAGTTAGTGGCAGAGCCAAGAACCAAAACCAGGTTTCCCACGTGCTAGTCTGGTAGCCTAGCAACAAGGACATCTAGCCAAAAGAGGCACTCGCACTGATACACTGGAGTGGGACTGCCTCTGGGTGGTGACTCAGCGAAAGCCCTGCTCCCTTGGTGGTTCAGAGCCGTAGCCGATTGGTTTAGGGACTAAAAATTCGTTGCTGTTTTTTATCCCCTCCAGGAATCAGCCCGACTCTAGAAGGAACTGGAGTGGGTAACAGAATTCTGTCCTCCTAAGGAACTCACCTGGCCCCGTTTCTGTAGTTTCTGGGTTGTGATGGTTCCGCATCATAACCCGGGAAATATTTACCCTCTCTGCACTGCTCTGAGACAGGGCAGCGCTGTTATCCCCACCTTGCGCAGATACCAAGCATAGGCACCGACTCGGTGGGGGCTCCGGGGCTGGAGCACCCCCAGGGAAAAATTAGTGGGTGCTCTGCACCCACTGGCAGCCAAGCTTCTGTCTCCCGCCACATGCCCCACCTCCTACCTCTCAGCACTTCCTGCCTTGCCACCACAAACAGCTGTTTGGCAGCATGCTGGAAGGGAGGGGGAAGAGTGGGAATGCGGCATGCTCGGGGGGGGAGGCGGGGAAGGGGCACGGTCGGGGTGGGGATTTGGGGAAGGGGCTGGAATGGGGGCAGGGCAGGGGCGGGAGGGGGCGGGGTAGGGGTGGGGCCAGGGCAAGAGGGGAGTAAAGCACCCACTGGTGGGAGCAGAAGTCGGTGCCTATGATACCAAGGCCAGAAGGGACCATTGTGATCACCTAGTCTGACCTCTAGGCTAGCACAGGCCAGAGACCTGCCCCAAAACAATGCCTACAACGGAGCCGTCAGAAAAACGTCCCAGCTTGAGTTAAAAACAATGATGGAGAATCCCCCGTGACCCCTGGTAAATTGTTCCATGGTTAACTACTCTCCCTGTTATCAATGTACCTGTATTTCCAGCCTGAATTTGGCTAGCTTCAAGTTCCAGCCATTGGGTTGTGTTAGACCTTGGCTAGACTGAAGACCCCGTTGTTAAATATTTGTACTGACAGCCTGGGATCAAGTCACCCCGTCACCTTCTCTTTGTCACGCTGACGAGATGGAGCTCCGGGAGTCTCGCACTGTAACGCAGGTTTTCTAACCGTTTAATCCTTCTCATGGCTGTTCCCTGACCCCTCTCTAGTTCATTAACCTCCTTCGTGATCTGTGCCACCAGCACCGGCCGCAGAGCCCAGCAGCGCTTGTACCGGTGACAGGTACAGAGGTAATAGAACGCTGCCCTGTCTCTCCAGCTTGCTTATGGGTGGGAAGCGGAGGCACCGAGTGATGGAGGGCCAGCTTTCCTAAGGTATTTAGGCACCTAAAAAACAGGTCGGGTGTGATTTTTTTGAAGTCTCTAAGTCCCACTGAAGCCAACTTGCTCAGGCACTGACGTACCTGTGGAAGTCTGACCCACGCGCCAAGCTCAAGGCGACACAGGGAGTGTGCAAAAAAGGACTTAAACCAGGTCCTCCGAGTTCTGGGCAAGTGTCCTTCCCCTCCCCCCCCCACCCTCCGCGGGCCTCCCTGCTCCTTCCCCCTGGTCGGGCAATGTGACCGCACAGGAGGGCAGAGCTGTACGATATACTGTGACCAACTGTGTCTTGCTCTCACTACGCCCACAGCCTGCATGAAATCGTTTTCTGTGCAAAGTTAAGCTGCAGTTACTCAGTACTGGGGTGAGAGGCGGATTTACCGTAAAACACAGGATGCCCTGGCACGGGGCCCCCCAACGACAGAGGGCCCCAGGGCCGGGCAACTGCAGGGGCAGAAGCTTGGTCCTGCCAGCTCCTGCTGCAGGCTCCGCCCCCACCGGCAGCCAAGCTTCCCCCTCCCCCACCTCTTCCCCGCCTCCTCCTCCGAGCAGGCTATGGACCCGCCCCTTCCCCTCCCCCCCCAGGGCTTCCCCCGCTGCCAAACAGCTGTTTACCAGCGCTCAGGTCACTCCCTGGGGGAGGGGGAGGAGCAGGGCTGCAGCACACTTGGGGGAGGAGGCAGAGAAGAGGCGGGGGCTGGGCCTTGGGGAAAGGGGTGGAATCGGGGTGGTGTCCCCGCACTTCACCTACACATACCCCCCCCCATCCTCCTGCCGTGAGCTGCTCAGGGCAGGGGCCTGGGGTGGGGCAGTGGGCTGGGAGCACCCCCATGACCCCAGCCCACACCCCCAGCCACCTGCCCTCTCTGACTCCTGCACCCCACCCCCACATTCCCACCTGCACCTCTTGCACCAAATGGGAGCTGCTCCAGGTAAGCGCTCCACACCCCAACCTCCTGCCCCAACCCTGAGCCCCCTCCTGCATCCTAACTCCTAGCCAGACCCTGCACCCCAACCCCCAGCCTGCTCCTGCACCCCCTCACACACCCCAATGCTTTCTTACATTTTTTTTTATAAAGCACTTTACAATAGTTAGCCAATGGTACAAACAATATTTGGAAAGATGGTCCGCCGAGACCCTCAGCGATTTTCAAGTGGTCTGTGGAAAAATAAGTTAGACTAGAAAAACAATCAAGGTACCTCACTTTATTTTCATTTACTTGCTATTACTTATAGGTGGGGGATGAAGAAAAACAGAATGAAACACGGGGGCAGTGGGGGAGATAAGAGAGAATGTTCTTTTTCTGGGCTGGGTCCCAAGGAGGGGCCCCAAAAATGAAGCTAAGCACAGGGCCCCACTAACTCTAAATCCACCACTGGCTGGGGTCACATTTTCCTCGGCACTCAGGGCCAGATTTGCCGGGCATCAGTACCCACACTCAGGACTCGGTGTCTTAGGAGACAGCTTTCCGGATGTTCCCCGTCCAACGGCAACTTGCAGCTGTGACGTCTACGGGAGGATTTCCAGAGGTTAGCACCCC